CCCCAAAACCCCAAAACCCCAAAACCCCAAAACCCCAAAACCCCAGCTTTATTAGCAACATTGAGTTTAATTAAAATTGTTATGTTGGCCTACAGGAGTCTGTAGGAGGGCCTCCTTCGTGTATGCACTTCTCATTTTGTCAAGGAGTTTTCTCATTTCAACCCTTTTCTCTGGGTATAAAAGTGAGCCTGAGCTAGCTATACATTAAAGGTTAGCAGTAGTGATGATATAAGCTTTTTAATGGGCGGTTCTTACCTCCAACCATATCGTTACTTAAGCCAATATCAAGATAGTTGTCCTTTGAGATTTCATCTATAGAATTTAGCCTAGATCTTTACCTTTGGGAGGCTTAGACGCAAGAAGGTTCTGGTGAGGTTTTGGAGGCTCACTATATCTCTTTTCTAATACTTCTAAGTTTTTCTCTAAAAAATTAGAGGATATATGATACCTTTTTGTTCTTCTAGCTCCTTTTTCTGTCTCTTTGTAGTGAATATTTGATGAGCTGGGGATGCCAAAGTAATTTTGGTATTAGGCTTGTGGTTTGGGACTTTTGGAGGCCTGCTATTTGGAGTTCCAATCCCCTCAATAGAGTCTTCCTGTCGTGATTTCTTTTTATGTAATGGATTAGTGTCAGAAGGAATCTCCATCGGCCCAGTATCTTTCCTCAATTTCATATTCTTAGTGTTATTTCTAGGAGAGTCATTAGATCTTGACTCTATTTCTTCTGCTATTTCTTCGTCATATTGGTTATCTTCATCATCAAGTAGATATTCTCCATCTGCATCAATATCAGACTTGAATTGGTTTGTAAACCTGAATGTTTGGGTATTCATCTTCTCATCTATCATTTCTTCCTCAATATCCTTCTTTCTCTTGAAACTAGCTCTTTCTTGGGGAAGCATTTCGCTGCCTTTCTTTGTTTTGAAGACGTTTCTTTTATGAGCAGTAATTTTGGAAGCCTGGATCCCATCTTCAACATTCTGCTGCACCTCTCTTTTCTGTGAGACATTAGTCCCTTTAATCAGCTTGCCATTTTTATTTCGACCTGGCTCTTGTAATGAATATCCTCTCATATTCCTCTTGGGTTCCTGCTTGTTATCAGGATGTTCATATTTTTCCTGAATTTTGTCAATTTTCTTTCTCTTTTCGTTAATTGCCTTTTTCTTTGAGTTGATGTTCTTGTGACTTTGGATTCCGATCTTTGTTCCTGATACAAGGCTATCTTCGAACCCTATCTTCCCACTAGATTCCCCAAATTTTTGATCATGGAAATGCATTGCTGTATTTTTGACGCCTGAGTTTGGGTCTGAATTCGGAACGATTTCTAGAGAATTATAGATATTTCTTACTTTTTCGGTTCTGCTTCATCAATGTATCAGTCTTGTTCAGCTCTTTTACACAATCCTGAGGTTTCTTTCCCTGTCCTTTTCTGTGAGGAGAATTTTTGCTAGCATCAAATTTGTGGCTATAGGAGTCTTGAGCATCTATTTCTTCATGAATCTTCTCTTCCTCCATCTCTTTGGAATCTTTCTTCTTGGGAGCTCTTTTGGGGTTTTTGTTGGGTCTGATTTTTGAATTCCCTCTTGAGAATTTCGCTCCTCTTTTCTTCTTTTCGTTACTTGAGGCATGACCTTTGGATATTATCCAAGAATTATCTCCATTTTCAGATGTAGTATCATGAGTTACTTTGGTGCTGTTCTTTTTGTCAATACCTTTACCTGCAAGGCCCCATTGCTTAGAGTCTTCATCTATGTCAGTTGACTTTTCATCCTTCCTGAGATTCTTCTTGTTACGTAAGTTCTGTTGTGGAAATGGCGAGGTAGAGCCAATCCTTTTCTTCTTTTTGACGTTCTTTTTGCTATCAACTCCGCTCATGTACGACCCATTATCATCGATTAGATCAGCATTTTTCTTAGGGCCCACCCTTCTTTTTTTTTTCAAGTGCGAGATACCGGAGGTTGCTCTTCCCTTTGATTTGGTCTTTGAGATAAATGATTTGTTTGATCTGGAATCAGCCATCGAGTCCTCTAAGATAGAGTCATCAACAGTCGAGGCAAGGAAGTAATCAACTTTGGAAACGTTCACAAGCTGATTCATATAATTAACTCCATATTTGAAATCATTAGCTTTAGGAATTGGCTCTCAATTCTTTTCCCATGAATCTACTTCTGGAATGATTCCTGACTCATCATCAAGGAGGCTGGTATCCACGATGGGTGAGTTCATTCAAAATATTTTCCTTCACTTGCACGATGCGGAGATACTGATCGCGTCTATTGAAACAAACTCCGAGTCTTGGAAACAAAATTCGAAAAATTCTTTTACGTTTATCGATAAATTCAGCCAAATGCTCTTTCTAAAGAAGGAACTTGGGATCCGTGCATGGAGCTGATTCTTTACGATAGACTTTGCAGAATGGGAAAAAATTAACCTCTTTTTATTGTTACTGTTGTCTTTGATCCTGAATTCACACTGGAAAGGTCTTTCACTAGAGATATACACTTGAAAAACAACATATGGCATTATTACTCCTAGTGAGCTATTTTTCATTCTTTGGAAGCTGCAATGTACCTTTGGTTTGAGTATCGATATTTAGAATATAACCAAGTGCTGATTTATCATAAACTTGCTTTGCGTTCCCAGTTCACTTCCATTTATCAACAGTTTGAGTTGTGAGGAGCTCGAGACTCTTCCCAGCTTGATACGAATTCTAAAATAAAGAAATTATAAGAGCTAATGAATAACCAAGAATTGACTCCTGAATATCTTGACGAAAACTGCATGAGACTAGTTTCTAATTTTAAGCACAAAAAGATGGCTCATAAAACTTCGTTCATGTTACTAATTCTAGTTTTGGGTGCTTTCTTACCTTCATCATTTTATATTTGTATTATTTAAATGCCAACATTGCTTTATTATTTAGGGGTTTTGGGGTTTTGGGGTTTTGGGGTTTTGGGGTTTTGGGGTTTTGGGG